TTTTACCTACTACTCACAATAGGGGTGGGGACCACATTTTGGAATTTTTTTATTCACATGGAACCCGCGTGCATTGTGAGAGTAGGGACAACTTTCGGTACAAATTAAATAATTCAATTTCAAATTTACCGGTCCCTTTTCACTAGTTGCATGAAACATATTATTTTATCGGTTGTGCTACATGTACATAATAGATTTACATATACATGATATGGTGAAATATGATTAGATCAAAATTTCTTCAAATAATAATAATAATAATAATAATAATAATAATAATAATAAAAATTCTCTACTCTCTTTTTTATATATTATGTATTTAAACTATTCTATAATTGCTTATATACAAGTAGCATTATTCTTATTTTATCAACCAAAAGCATATTTTAAATATTTTTACTTGAGTCCCTAAAAAACTTAAAAGGAGAAAATGACAGGAAACTCAACATTTTTACGTATAATAGATTCTAGTCATAACTATTTACTTTCTAAACAATTTTTCTCGGCTAATGAAATATTTTCACTTTAAGCCTGGGAAATGTCTCGATCTCATATGTACGTCTTTTGAGCCCTAAATTTTCAATACTTCATAAATGAGCCGCACTCATATTGTTCACGAAGTTTCGGGGCATTTCACTGGAGCCCTTGGAAGGACCTTGTTTATTTTCTAATAGATCATAAAAAATATTAGCTCATGAGAGTTAGTTTGACATGATATGACACGGATAGCTTCTGTATTGAGTCGAGCAAATGCTTGGGGTGGAGCTTATTTCCAGCTTATAAGCATGAGGGCATGAAATAAACCTCACCCAACTGCATCAAATATGATTTATGTCTATCACGTTACAAGTATGATATAAGTCAAGAATGGCCGACATAACCTAATTTACGCATTAGGAAGCCAACTAGCTAGCACACTGATAAGTGCATTTTATACACTTATTTAGATCTAAAAATATGGATAATTGTTGGTAAATATATTGGAATATGGCTTAATTCTATATAAATTATGTTTTGTAGAATAAAATTGATGGATAGGGTGGAATTTAGGAGAAACAAGTGAAAAATGATTAAAGTGGAAGAAAATCAAAGTTCAAAAACATAAGTGCAAAGTGCAAATAGGAAAAAGATGTCCCAAAAGAAGAAACGAAGATGTGAAAGAGTCGAAGACCAATTTAGCGAAGACATGACATATTGGAAGAAGAAGTGACCAAAGAGGTTAAGAAACGAGAAAATGGAGTTTGGGAA